AACCCAAACCAGTCTGGGGTTCTGTGATTCACTGTCACACTCACTAGAAAGACAAAGATGAGGTTCATTCTAGAGAGCGAAGGAGGGCTGGAACATTCATTCCACACCTGGCATAGCCAAACCTTTTCTTGCCTGATTTTGTGCTCTGTTCGTATGACAGTCAGACGAGGTTTAACCCTTTTGTAAACTCTGTTTGTAACATCTTGGTGCTTTCCTCCATTTTCTCCTTGTGTCTTAATTTCCACTCGCTGACCAACTTGAGAGGATAACTGTTGGGTTCATTGAGGGGCTCTCCTGGCACGCTGATCCCTGTGGGAAACGCTCTTCTCTCCCCGTGGAGCTTCACCCCTGCGCTCTGTGGACACCCTCTGACATCTCTTGTGTTTCTGTTCCAGCCTCTGTCGAGTCACAAGCCACGGAAGAAAAAAAAGAAAAGGAAAACCAAAAAAGCATCATCAGGGGAGACTCTGGTACGTCTGTGTTTGCTGCGGGAGTTAGTGACTGTGCTGGTTCCTGCAGTGCAGTTGACAAACTGGCTGCTCTGAGGTGTCTGCAGGAAAGATTTTGAGGCAAAAATGCTCCTTTTTTTCTTTGTACTCGTTTAAAATGATGAAAGGGCAACAGCAGCTCTTGAGTGTGGTTCTTCCAGCGGGCGGGACTGGCGCAGCTCTGCTGAGATCCTCCCGGTGACACCTTCTTTCATCTCTGCTTCGAGGCTTCCTGCAGGAGGGGGTCTGGTGCCAGGGATTTTGCATTTGCATTCTGTTTTCCTTGCCCTACTTAGGCAGCTCTCCCAGCTCTGTGGATCCCTGCAGAGCTCTCTGCCAGACGTCACTCGTGTCCCTTCCCCACACACCTGGTTTGACGGGAATAGCTGAACGCTGGCAGGAGCATCTGCTCGTGCACTGCCCAGCGCTCCTCCTGCTGGATCTGCTCTGTCCCCCCAGAGATGAGGGGAGCCAGGGGACCATGGTTCTCTCCAACTCAGCTGCCGACCCCTAAGGAAGTGTGCTTGGAGTGACAACTGTGTCCCCTGTCTGTGTTTGTTGTGGATAAAAGGAGGGAAGATCTTATAGCAGCCTTCCAGTGCCTGAAGGGGCTACAAGAAAGCTGGGGAGGGACTTTTCATAAGGGCAGTTAATGACAAAACAAGGGGAAATGGGTTTAAACTGAAAGAGGGGAGGTTTAGATTAGATATTAGGAAGAAGTTCTTCACTGTGAGGGTGGTGAGACAGTGTCCCAGGTTGGCCAGAGAAGCTGTGGCTGCTCCTCCCTGGAAGTGTTGAAGGCCAGGCTGGATGAGGCTTTGAGCAACCTGGTCTAGTGGAAGGTGTCCCTGCTGATGGCAGGGGGGTTGGGACTGGATGAGCTTTAAGGTCCCTTCGCACCCAAACCAGCCTGGGATTCTGGGATTCTATGAACACTGTCACAGACAGATGTGTGTGCTGGGATATATTCTGTCTCCTTGAGCCTGGGCTGGGAGACTGAATGTTTTTTGCAGTCATTGGTCTTTTAAATTATATAGAAATAAAGTTCCAAGTGGGAGCTGGGTTTTTTTGCTAAGGTTTAAGAGTCTTTTACCTCTTCACTCGGGGCAGATCCTTGGTTAAACACCCTGAGCCACAGTGCCCTGGAGTGCTGAACGGGTGAGCCCTGACTCCAGTGTGGGTGCCCAACTGGCCACCTCCTCCCAGGAATTCAGCTGGGCGAGCTCGGAGCGAGTTACAAAGGAAAGAACCTGATTCAAGACCCCATTTCCTCTCCCAGTCTGAGAATAACAAGGAACAGGGTGACATCTGCCAGCTCTAAGGAGACTCCCTACCCAGAACCAGGCAGTTTGATTTGATAACCAGAGATAATACCACCTTTGTTCAAGTGCTTCAGTGCAAAACAAATTCTAAACTTGTCATCTCTCCACTCCACGCGGAGTGCCTATATTTAGCTGGAAAAGGCAAACTCCCAGTGCTATTTGGGTGTTGTGAATGGAATTCCATGTTCCACCCACGTACATCGTGAGGAGGATGTGAAAGGAATGCGTCACTTGCTCTTTGTGGGGGGAAAAGAGAGGAAAATCAGGATGGAAGTGTTACACAACTGTTGAATGCGCTCCGCTGCTGGATGTGTTCTTCGGGGTGTTAGAAGGTGGGGAAGGTGAGTGCAGTACATCAGAGCTGGCTTCAAATCATGCGAGTGTTTGATATTACAGGGGTCGTGGCAGTAATTTAGTGTTGCCATGGCAAGTAGATGGTGAAGAAGGCTGATCATTTAAATATTTATTATTAAAAGCAGCAGCCCAACATTCCATGGTGTGACAGGAATTGTAGTGTAAATGAACCAGACAAAGCACAGCGAAGGCCGGGTGGGGAGGGACGACCTGTGTGCTCTGATAACTGCCTTGTCTGTCTGTGTGTCTCTCTTAAGGAAGACAACGACCTGGAAGACATCGAGAGCTTGCTGGAGAAGATTGAGGACACCAACGGGCTCTCACAGCAAACCCAGAGCGGGATAATCGCTGACAGCCGGCCTCTGCTCTACGTGGAGCACAGGTAGTGCTCACTGCCTTCCTGATTTTGGCCCTGGGTGTGGCAGGGATCTCTCTTCCCCTGAGAAAGGGGGTTGGGAACCTCCCAGCATGATCAGGACCTTGCTTGAAAGAGCTTGTGGTGGTGGTTGTGCACAGCCCCGTTTCTAACCATTGCTCTTAGAGCTGCGTTGGGTTTTGAGCAGTGACTGGTATTCTCTGCTGTCATGCCTGGTTCGAGTGGGCATCTGGACCAGATTAACCTCCAGAGGTGCCTTCCAGCCTAAGACACTCCTGACTCTGTAGGAGAATCTCTGCAGAGCTGCTGAGAGCCCTGGGGCATAAAGCCCCATCCATCAAACTGGCTGTATTCCAGCAGGGCGCTGTGCACAACGGGCCCTGGTACAGCATGTGCCATCCTCCGAGGAGGCTGAGCAGTGCCAGGAGCTGTGTTCACCAGGAAATCCAGTGGGACTTGTCTAACCTTTCCCTCATGTCACCATCAACAAAGTGGGTGAAACGCCAAGCATGTCCAGGAGCTGCAGAGTGAATCGGCCTCAGCCTCGAGACCTGTGACACTGGGGCCTATTGGGAACAGGCGGCCGGTGGATCCGGTGTGTTTCAGAGCTCTGGGCTGGTGCAGACACTGGCAGCTCTTTCTGCTTCAGGAGGAAGCATTTAAACTTGGAGCTGGGACAACTTAACCAGTCCAGGTTTTGAAACATCAAAACTGAGTCTGTGCTGGTGGACTCTCAGTGCTAGCACTGCCTTTAGTTCAGTAAAGGCAGAATGTTTGTTTATCTAAAGATGGTTTTAAGCCTCAGTGACATCCCTGGTCAAGTAAACATTCTTCAGAAACCTTGGAGAGCTGGATAATCTCCGAGCAGGTGAGGGTTGGCAGTGCTGGATCTCATTCTTCCCGCTCCCTCTCCAAGACCTGCTCTCTGGGTGGCAGAGAGAAACCCCTCTCAAACACACCTCCCTTCTCTGGGGACAAGCGTTAGATCACGTAGGTGTTGTCATCCTTTGATACAAGATCTTTGCATTTAAAAAATGTGTTTTAATCCTTGCCAGGCTCCATGCAGTGCTTAGGGTGTCAGCCCTGGATTGCAGGTTGCCCTGGAGAGGGCAGCAGAATTATTCCCCAGCTCAGCGCCGTCTCTGGAGCGGAGCACGAAGGAAACATCCATCTGATCGAACGGGGCTTTCGATGCCTCCTGTTCTGACCATTAACTGGCAGTCTCCTTTCAGGGTGCTGTGTCACATCCGTGGTGTGTGACAGTTCAGGGGCTTGGCCAGAGAGGGTTCGAGGTGCAGGGCACTCGGCGTGGGTGGAAGGGGCTTGAGCGTGAGGCTCTTGTCTGAGTTTAACTGAGAGTGGTTTTTCTTTCTCATTTCAACCTTTTCAGAAACTTGAATCCAGAGAACGAGTTGAAGAGATACTTTGGGGCTCGTGCTGTTCTTGGTGACCAGAGGTTAGTCCAGAATTTAATACTGAACCCTTTCAGGGTCTGAGTCAGTATATCTGTCCTTCCCCTGGTGGCCTCCCTTTCCAAGCCCCTGGTGCCACACCTGAGCAGGGAGCCCAGGGCACCCTGACACGTCCAGGGGTCTTACTCATTTAGTTGTCACTTTTAGAGACAGGAGAATATTTTTTGTGATGCTTGTGCTTTGGGCAGTAAGACT